CCCTGAGAGAACAAGTAGTGGTATTCCCTTAATGGCCAGGGCCTCCATTACTAAGAACAACAGTGGAGAAAGCAGTAGCTCTCCAAGTGAAAATGATGTCTTGTTTATTGACTGTAGTGAATTTTAACAGAAAGTGATGGTCTATGATTTCATAGATGTTGAAAATATCTACCATATTTTTAAAATATAAGCATAACAAAGAAACAAGAATAAATAATTAGTTCCTCCAAGGTTATTTGACTTTTCTCATTTTCTTTTTTATGTAGTGGTTGCTTATAAATATTTGCAAATGTTACTTGAAAAATAAAATTTTAATGTCTCAAAAATTATATTTTCAATTGGTATTGAAGGAGTATTTATTGTAAGTGACAAATGATATACTGTCTGATAATAATTCAATCTAATGGGGAGATAGCTCATTTTTACACTTTTATTCAATTTGTATATTTTACAATAAGCCTAAACCATTTTATTCTTGTACAATTCATTCTCTTTGTAGATGTAAGAAAAAATTTTCATTTAGTTCACAAAATATAAAATCTTAGCAAGAGAATGTTATAGCAATGCTAACTCAAATATTAATCTCATTTCACATGTGTAGTGTCATCAAAATCAATTCAACTATATTTAGTAATAGAGTGCTTATACTTCTTATAAAATTTAATACTATTTAATTCATATATTGTAATTAAAAAGTTTCCTTGATGGTATTCATTTAGTCAACTGAAGAATCTTATACATGATATTTCTTTGATAATCTTAAATCTGAGGAATATCTTCAACTATGACTTTAAATGCTTTTTTTTTTTTAAGTTAAGAGCAAAATTAAAAAAAGAATTAATATAAAAGGTCATGTGTTCTGTAAAACATTTAAATATTTATCCAGCCATTTTGCATCTAGAGTAAGAAAGTTGTAGAGTTCTATTTATTTTTTGGGTTCATATCTGGTATTGGGAAATATCTGACATGGAAAACTCTGTCAAAAAGTAGTCTGTTTGATGAATATATAAATTAACAATACCAATATTTCCATTGATAATGACTCATAACTTTCCCTCTCATTTCATTTTGCACTCACACATATACTTATGTAAGTCAATAAGTCTATAGCCTAATTATGAAAAATGATTTATTTTACACTACAGATCTTTATTTTTTAACATAATTTCCTTCCTTGTCCAGACACTTAACCTGATGCATCTAGTAGGAATGCCTGCAAAATAATTTCCCTTCCCCAATTTATAGGCAGAAGCACTCAAATGCATGCTGGGATTTCTTCCTAGCCAATAAGATAGACCACTTGTCAGTTTCACACAAGTCTGTCTTGTCTTGAAGTCAGAATGCTAAAGTTCACTTGTCCAAACTTGCTCTTGTGTGTCAACTTCAATTCTTAGTTTGTGAACTTTTTGCCATATTACTGTTGCTTTACTTTATTACTGTTAATTTACCTTCTAGATTCTGTTTCCTTGCTTTATATTATTTTATTTTGCCCTGTTCTTTCCTTTTCTTTCTTTTTTTGTTATTGCTTATTGCAAACTTTGTCAGTTCGGTTTGTTGGACAGTTCTATCATTTATTTTACATTTAGCCATGGCCACTCACTCTACATTAATCATATAGATCAAACAGTATACTGTGAAAATTTCAAATCAAAATTCAACTAATATCTGTGTCAGGCTATAGATTTATTGATTCATCTTTTTCACAAAACTATCCATTTTCTTCTTGCATTAATCAAACTCCAAATTTTTAAGACATTTTTTTTTAAAAATATTTAGCATTTATTTAGAAATGTTCCTTTTATTTCTAATGATGTTAATAACATTGACAATACCAAAAACAAAACTTTTTCTACAAAATGGTAATAGCCAAACATTACCCCAATTTTCTCCAAAGTGAAATCCTGTTGAATTTGTTAATACTGGGAGCCTGTTTTCATTGTATTGTTTTAGATCAATCCTGTTGAGAGAGCTAATATTTTTTAAATTGTTTCTTTTTAACAAATGAATTCCTGATGTTGAAGAGCAAATGTGGCTGTGACTAAGCAAGCAGAAGTAAATCTATCTCACCCACCCAGGACTTGGCTACTGTAACAAGCAGCATAAACAACTTTGTAAAGTTTATTTACCAAAATAGCTTGTTGGAGTAAATTAGTTCCAACCCAAATCTGGTTTACCTTTTTTCTCTAACATTCATTTTAAATTAATTTGCTTTCTTATCACCCAAACTTGGACAACCTCACCCCACTACACTTATCTGCACACAGCAATTTACCACAATGATATAGCCTAGGCATTACATTATTACAAAATCTCTCTTTATACAGCATTTAAACTTGCTTTCCTTCCATAAGAGCATGCATATACATTTCATTTCATACATTATATAAAACTATCTTCCAGTGTTGCTTTGTTAATCTCTAGGATGACAGCAAGTTATTTGGATATTTGCTTTAGCGATTAGAACAATAGATTTGTTACCAAGACTGAAATTTTAAGTGTCAGGTTAGAATTTTTACTATAACCTTAGAAATCCAATGCAAGAGATTTTCATCATAAAAACTATATAATAATAATAATATTTCATAATAAAAATACATGTAATACATACTTCCATTAGCAATTGTCAGCTTTGAAATGTTTTTGAAATATACTTGAGCAATGAAGCATTATAGGTATTTTTGGTCTTTCTGGTTGATTTTTTTCTATAAATATTTGTCAGTATGGTAATTCCTTTTATGTTTAATAATCCTTTCATACACATTTTCCTAAATTCTGAAAATTTGTTCTAACTTGAATATTTCATTGTTTTATCCTTGTAATTCATTTACTTTTCATTATGTTCTGATACCCAATGTATATGAAAAAAATAATCACTTTTATTTTTCATTTATTAAATACTTTATAGCCTCTAGTACACCAATTATAATGTTTACATTTGTGTTCACTCGAGATAAAAGAAAGCATTCATTAAAATTTGTCAGAAATAAAACAAATCAATATGAAGATAAAAGGAAAAAACTTGATAAGTCTTTTATTGATTTTGTTGTTGTTGTTGTTGCCATAATAATGCCATTTGAACATTACAAGATAATTTCCCAGAATTCCTCTGAAGCTTAGATTTTATGTAAGTTTCTCGCTTTGAAAATCTGTTATTCCCTGTTTTCCCTTTGTATAATCTTTGTACATTAGCTGCCCTTCTTATGTATATGCACTTGTTGACCAAAGTTACACTTTGTGAGCAGGAAATGAAATGTTATCCAAAAATCTCATAATTCACTTGGAAAAAGCAATTTTTCTGTTGTTCAACTTAATTTGTTTTCCTCTGTTGCCTTTGTTTCAGCTTTCATAATTGAAGCTTTCTCTGCGTTTCATGCAATAAGTTAGGAATATTAGATTTGCTTTACATATTCATACACATGCATAAACATCAAAACACATGCATAGAGGAGGATGCTTCTGTTTCCTTTTGTGATAAAAATTCATTATAAAGAATATGCAAATCTATATTTTCTATTAGATAATCTTTTATATTTTTGGTTGCTGTTCTGTGTGCTTGTCCATGCATAAAATTTCTTCATTGTAGATTGTTCTAAACTGAAGAAATAATAAATTATCAAAAGAATATATTGTCAGTTGTAAAAGTTTAATGTTTCCCTCTCTCAGCCATTGATCTAATTATTTCTTTCTTTTGTTGCACTTTGTAAAACAATGTCGAAAAAAGAAAATAATTTAATTTGTGAACAAAATTTGCTGGCAGTCATTTGGGGATTCAATTATAACTTCAAGCAACATTTTGGATAACAAAAAGAAGAAAAAAAAACCTATACAATAACAAAATTCTATAATTTTCCTTAAGTGAACATCATAAGTCTGAGAGCAAAGTTGAACTGTGGACATATTTTTCTCTTATTTAGAATTAGAAAAAAACAAAAAACACTGCTTCCTGTCTCATCTAGTTTTATAAATAGCAAAAGAAAAGTGGTTTTATTCATAATAAAGTTAATATTCATTGGCGAGCATTAAAGTAAATAATGCACCATGATCCTCATAACTGTCATAGTGCCATGTATGTTCACTGTTTCAGTTAGATATTTCAATGTTTTCACTCAATTATTATTCCAGTGACTGACAATTTTAAGTTTGGCACATGTTATTTTTCAGCTTTCATTGCTACTTTTCTTTCTTTCTTTTTTTTTCTTTGAAATGCAATAATATTGTAGTTTTATTGCTTTTCATCTAATGAGACAGTATACACTTTTCATAATTACTACTCATGCAAAGCAGTTGTATCTATTGTTAATTATCGAAGCAAAAGAACATTACTAGTATTGTTTTTACTTAAGCCTATTTAATATACTTAAATGCTATAAACTGTTATCAATAAGGATTAACATATAAAGTAAATGCTATTTATCAGTAAGATATTTATGTTTAGTTTGTATTTTAGGGAAAAGTTTTGAGATTTTTATATGAAGTCTATTATAATTTCTATAAAATTAAATAGCTTCTCTATCTTTGTTTTACTTTCTTCTTTTTTATATGTAATTCCAGTCTCTTTTGTCTCCACAGGTGCATATCTTGTAGTTATTATATTTTTAGGATGTAAATTTAGTAACCTTTATAGAAAATATTTGTCTATCAAAAGTTCAGATGTCACTTTCAAGAGAGTCTTTCCTTTTTTTTTTAGAAAAAATTTTCAAATATTCAATTTGTAAATAATTAATTATTCTATTTCATTTGAACCACTCTTAGCATTCCAGTATTCTGGTTGTTTCATTGAGAAATTAGATTAACTAAAAGCCTAGAATTTCTGATTTTATTCTTTTTTTTTTCTGAATTGCTTCAAAGTAAATCTTTCCATTTTTTATGATAGCAAACTTTACTTCATTGCCAACATGAAGCTAATTGCATTGATATTTGTCTGTATAGCCTTCAAATAGAATCAAATTACTCCACTTCAATATTTTTCTGTTATTTATTTTCTTATTTTTTCATTCCAGCCCAGTGCCAAAGGCAGCTCTTTGATCCGCAAAGTCTTTGATCATGTTAATCTCTTGGAGAGAGATTATTTTGGCTTGAGATACCTCGACCAGAATAATCAACCAGTAAGTAATCTTCCTTCACACTATTTCTGTATTTTTTAAAAAATATGTTTGTATGATCAAATTGGATGTCTCAAGACTGACCTTGTACTTCATATACTTTGAAGTTATCCAAATGTAGATACACAAGCCATCTTGAATTCATCACTGACTATAAGGCAAATTAAATGATGCAATTTTTAAATAAAAGTCTAGTTGGTAAGATCAAATATCAATCTAATTATTCTTTTTATCAGTTTTCAGATGTTATAATACAAAATGCCTTTTTTATAATTTTGGTAAAGTTCTAGGATATTTGGCATTGTAAAAATTATCATATAATTGGTCAATTTTTTCTATGAAAGATTTCTTTAAAATTGTTTAAAAAAATACAGTTTTTTCCACTTTTTAAAAAATAGGATTTAAAATTAATGAAAATATTTAAAGTATTCCAGGGCAATAATTTTGCTTAAAATCAAGACAAAATTTTCAAGTTTTTTTGTAAAAATACTCTACAAAGTAATTATTCCTCTTTTAATAAAAATACATAAATTTAAAAAAAAAATTAACATGGATAAAATATGATTTATAGAATTATATATCATTGTAACTATTTATCTTCAAGATAATAGAAATAATTAAATTTGTTAAATACTGACAAATTTCTTGACAAATATATCTGGGTTTTTGGCTTTTATAAAATTAAGCTGAGCTTTCTGAGTAACTTTGTCTATAAGAATTTAAAATGCTACTGCAGTATTTCACACACACACACACAGACACACACACACACATATCATAAAGAAACAACAATACAAAGAATTAATTAGCAATGTTAATGTGATTAATGGTGAAATCACTTTCCTAACAAAACTTAATGAGACATTAACTTACTATCTGATGTAATGGAATAACCTGTCACCCCATAGGAAGTAACTACCTATAAGTATCTGTAAGTCAACAGACTACAGAGACTAGCTGGGATCTGTTAAGTATGACTCAGACTTACGCAAGAACTACCAACCTTCCAATAGTAGCACTCACTACTGGATTGACTTACGATGACTTTGTGCATAACTGTTACCTTTATTCTTATTGTACTGATTTTTCTTACAATAAACCTTTACTTATTTTATCCACCTTGTTTTTCAAGCATATATTCCTATTAGCACGGAATATAACACTATCAATTCCTTGAATAATATGATCCTTATATTTGAGTTGTTGTCAGATGGAAGTTAAATGCTAAGTACTTTTGACAATTTCAAATTGTCATCTTTGGGACACAATTTTCCCATACACAGGCAAAAACTAAGATGAAATATGTGAAGACTGAAAGATGTTTTTTTTAAATTATGCTTTTTATTTACAGTTAAATATGTTTTTGGAGCATGTGATGCCACAATGCTAGAGTTCTTGTTCAAATCAATCAAGACATTTTACTCTACTAATCAGATTATACTTAAATCCATGTCACTTTAACTGATAAACACATATAACAAGAAAATTTTGTGGATTTATCACTTTTTAAAATTCAAACAAAATTCGCACTTGATTGAATTCAAATATATTTTATTCAAGGAATTGATAGTAAGTAAATGTCTCATTAAGTCTTGTTATCAAAGTGATTTCGCCATTAATCACATTAACATTGCTAATTAATTCTTTGTATAAGTTGTTTCTTTATGATAAAAAAATATAAGCTGTACACTTTAAGATTTAAGAAACAGCAGATATTTTTACATATAGTGATCAATATTTAAAATGATATTAAAAACAGAGTGTTAATTTTATTATAATAAAAGATTACTTAACTTTTGAATATCAATTTTATACAGACTGAAGTTTCTTGATAATATTTCCAGTCTACAGCTGAAAAAAATGAAAGTTGTATACAAAAGAAAAATTTCATGAATGTGAATGTTAAATTTATGAATATGCATGTGTATAAAACAGAGTAAAAAAAGGGATTGAAAAAGACACAGAGCATATTGAAAAAGAAAATGGAAATATTTAAAACCAGAACCCACTGAAGACTGGAAATTTTAAGTCAGGATAAAAAAAGTAATCTTTTCATATTATATATATTGAGGTATTCAAAATCAGTAAATTTCAATGAAACTAATCTCAAACTTTTTCATTATGAGTAAATTTTATTCATTAAAATCATTATTATTATTCCTTTTTAATAATCTATGCTCTTTATTCTTTTCTTTAACACAGCAAAGATCTGCATTTTTGATCTATGCAGGATAAAAATAATAAATATAAAACATTCTCAAGTAATAAACCTTGACTCATATGATGGTGGTCAATGTTGGAAACTTGAATTATTAGTTGGATTTAAATCTGAAATTTTCCCTCTATATTGTTAAGTTTATGGGATCAATGGCTTATTGACAAGGAAGGTGATTATATCGAAAAATAATTATCTACTGTGTAAAATAAATGCTTGAATGAAACCTCTATTCCTTCTTTTATCTCTTCTACTATTTAAGCTAGTATGTAACAATGTTATAAAAATATGATTGTGCCTTTGGGAAGAGAATTTTCTTTGGGACATCTTTATTAACTCTTATTACCAATATCTTGAAGTTAGCATTATAAAGATATTTATACCAGCTGAAATTATGTTTATTATGGAAATAAAATTTAAGGATCTGAAGACTGAAATATAATAAGAATATATTCACAATCTCAATGCATAAATTTTATCTTGCCTCTTGAGTAAATATCTCATTAATATTTTTGCTTGAGAGAAGATGCTTAATACCTGGGTTTTTCTTTATTGAGGTTTTATTTCACAATGTTATGAATTTAGTTATTTTCATGAATGCATTTCCTAATTCTCTCCATTGTTGTATATGAATAGGCTGTGAAAATATAGACTCTGAAATCTGAAAAGTATGTTAAAGGGTATTAAAAATGCTGCAAAACATAAATGAAATAGAACAGAATCCAGGTTGCATGTAAATAAAATTAGCTTATTCTTCAAAATAATATGTCTATTCTTTTATTGCATTTATCCTTATATTAGTTCATCATTTTGTATTTTATCACAAGAGTTCTTTTATGTTGCTTTCCATGTGCAGTAATTATATTTTTTGTTAATAAAAAATATACTTTCCATATTGAAACAAAAAACTTTTAAATATTTAAGTAGGAAAATTATGATGGCAAATGATTAAAACACTAATAGAAGTAAAGTATAAAATATTTTTACTTATTCTTTTTTATATATATTTCTATACTGTGAACGCACACACACACACACACACACACACACATACACACCATTTCCTTCTGTATCTTAAAGCAAAATTTAAACATTTCAGTGGGCGAAAAAATTTTATCTGCTGTTTATTTTACTAGAATTTTTTTGCAACATGCTGACATGTGTTGAAATCCTCACAGTATTTGACATGTGTTGAAATCCTCACAGTATTTGACATTTTGTTGAAATCCTCACAGTATTTGACATTTTGTTGAAATCCTCACAGTATTTGACATTTTGTTGAAATCCTCACAGTATTTGACATGTGTTGAAACATTTTTTGTTGAAATCCTCACAGTATTTGACATTTTGTTGAAATCCTCACAGTATTTGACATGTGTTGAAATCCTCACAGTATTTGACATGTGTTGAAATCCTCACAGTATTTGACATTTTGTTGAAATCCTCACAGTATTTGACATTTTGTTGAAATCCTCACAGTATTTGACATGTGTTGAAATCCTCACAGTATTTGACATTTTGTTGAAATCCTCACAGTATTTGACATTTTTTTTGAAATCCTCACAGTATTTGACATGTGTTGAAATCTCACAGTATTTGACATGTGTTGAAATCCTCACAGTATTTGACATTTTGTTGAAATCCTCACAGTATTTGACATTTTGTTGAAATCCTCACAGTATTTGACATGTGTTGAAATCCTCACAGTATTTGACATGTGTTGAAATCCTCACAGTATTTGACATTTTGTTGAAATTATCACTAACATTTTTGTTGAGATTTGTAAACCAATTGATAAAATATAAAAACTTAAAGAAAAGATATGCAAAAAGAAAAAATATTACATTTTTATTAAATAAGTATTTGTTATTTTAATCATTAAATTGTTTTTAAAATTGTGGGTGTATTTTGTATGTTAAATAATAAAACTTAATTTTTCCAAAAAGATTAAAGATAATTTATTGTACTAAGTGACACACCCTAGTAAAACCAACTGTATTTTGTACTCCCTTACCTGTTTGCACTTTTCCCCAAAATTTGGTAATGGTCAAACAATCTATGGCAATTGTAGAGTGTGTGATGGACAGACTAACAGAAGTTACAGAATTTTAAATATAGATTGTCAAAAGGCTTTGATAATATATTTTACATCTTGATTTGCTTGGGCTTTTTTTTTTATACCTGTACATGACAAAGGGTGACAATCAGATTTGTCACATTCTTTATTTTAACATTCTGTCACATGTGAGGTTTAGAGTTTTTACTGCTTCTTGTGTATTTTTATGATTGGCATACAATTCATTTTGTATGACTCAAATGAAACACAAATCAAATTATAAGCTCTGAGTTTATAAATCTAAATTCAAATGTGAAAGCTGCTCATTTTTTAAATCATCTGTAAGTACCACAAAAACACTGAAAAGTGAAAATTTTATTTAATTAAAAAAAATAAGGTATTTAAAAATACTTTAAATTTAAAATGAGATATAAATTTTACTTCTTTATAATTAACTATGGAGAGATGAAGGTAAATAATTTTAAGACCTTTATTAACTTTTACATATAAAATAAATGTGCAGGTGGTGAACGGGTTTGAAACAAGAAATGACTTTTAATTCTGCTTCAGTTTGTTACATTTACTTTGATACAAATACCCTTAGAAATGGTATAACATCATCTCTTCTCTCTCCAGCTATTGGTTAAATAACAGAGTTGACTAGGCTGTTTAGCTGTGGTTGGTAACCAGTCTAGGAGTTGGAAAAACTCTGAATTCAAAAGCATACATAGCCCTGGCAAAGCAGATACTATGCAGTCAACAAAAGGATTGTGGAGTCCATAATGGCGCCATAATCTCCACCGCAGTCATTGTGATAGAGAAATATATAAAATGTATTTTTTTGTTTATGTAATCTATTTTAAGATTTAAATATATTTTAATTAAATTTAACATCAAAGAATAAACAGTCTATTAGATTATTTTATTGAGAAATGTATTCAAGTATATTTTACCAGCAAGGTTAATTCCAGCAGCAGTTATCTATCCCAAATACAAAACCTAAAGTGTTGTACTACCATAAAGCAGAAGAGAAAAATGTCTATGTACAAATTACAAAAATTATTGCTCTGCATTTCCTTTAAGAAATTCATAATTAATACATTTTAGAGCTACCAAAAAGTGGTTTACTATTTTTCTAATGTTTATAAAATTTGTAAGTTAAAATTTGACCATTGACCTTAATTTCACTTTTACTTTTATTTTTTATGATGTTGAAAAACTTAAAAATGCTTATGAAAGAGTCTTTTGCAAAATTCCTTAAAGTTGATACAGTGATATTTCTTAAATTATATTACTGAGAGATTTAAATCATAGTGTTTCTTTATCAGAACAGGAATGTTCTGCTGTTCCCTGAGGATGATTGGAAAATATATGGATCCAGTTGAACAATAAAATAATCTTATTATATGCAGATAACATAATTTACTGACATTAGCAATTTCTTTGTTATTTGTTAATCTTGTTCTATTTTTCTTTTTAATTAGCACTGGTTGGATCCAATTAAAAGTGTGTCTTCTCAATTAAAAGGTGAGTACATTAAAATTCTTCTTTTAAGTATTTCCTCTTCCTTTAAGGGGAATTTAATGCTTACAGTCACATTGAAATTCCTGTCCTGATCATTGAAGATAAGGAACACAATTTTGGTCTGTACTCAGATGCATGACTATATCTGAAGTATTTCTACCAGCTTAAAAGTCTAATGTTTCTTCTATGTCTTTAAGACTGAAACTAAGCTACACTGATTATACTTGCTCTCAAAGGACCAACAATATATTATCAGATTAATATGCAAAAGAGAATCTCCTCAAATTACAGTATCTCTTGGAGTTTAAGCCATATTTAATCACTCTATGCTTTTGACTAATCTTGGCATGATTAAGATTGTGTATTGATAAGAAATAATTTTAGCAGAAGAGTCTCAATATAAGCTATACATCCTTATATAGTAGTAAATTACAGTAAATAGATTATATTTTCATATCCTATAAAATTAAACTATGCAATATCCTTGGTCACTATAAAAATATATACATACACTTAGTAAACATTTAACCTATGGATTTGTTATTATGTAATAAAATTTAATATATACCAAACACCAGTCAGCATTATTAATCAGAGAACTGTAAGGAAAACTTATCTCTGGTCTTTTGAATAGGAGTAGAGGTTTATCCCTTGTTTCTTGTTTAGGATTGGGGTTCCAGGTTCATTCTTTTTCACACCCAGTAGCCCCTTGCATCTTAGTGGCATTATTGCCTTGCTTGGGATGAATTGATTAAAAAAAGAAAAAAACATACAATAACAGTGGTTTATTGTCTTTAACATTCTGTCAGAAATTTATGTAGATAGAATAATACTTAAGTAACAAAAATTTCAGGTGAATTATAATTGATACTATTTCTACTTTTTGCTTTCCTTCATGCAATTTTTTAATGCATTTCCTACTTGGGTAGGTAGAAAAAGGGAGAACATAAGAGTGTATAATGTCCTTAAGTATCTGAAACTATACATACACTACACAATTCAGCAAATTTTCAAGCCTAACCTGGAAAGTTTGAAAAAGCTTTTTACCACTTTTCATGGTTATGCTATAAATGACTCTTGCTTTTTTTGTGCTCAATGATGGAGGATGTTCTGGCAGAGCCTTGTTTTTTGAAATAGATAAATACAAAAAAAGATACTGTGTAAAGAAAACATTTTCAAAATATGTAATAAGTGAAAAATAAACAACTATTAAAATAAAACAATTTCTAAAAGTGTGTAACTTGGATTTTCAATTAAAAATTGCTTTTTAACTATTTTCGCATATTAAACTTATTAATAAGGAATAGATTTATGAGATGTTGTCATTTACCCAGTCCAATCAATTTAGGAAGTTTTCAAGTCATATTTAAGTAACATGTGCAATATCAATAGAAACTTTAAAATCTATAAATATTTATTCTTTTTCTATAATTTATTTTGTGTCTTGTAGGTATTTTCATAAAACTTAAAATTGTTTATTTTTCAGAGTGTAAAAATTATAAATCAAAGAGTTTATTATATTGTTTTATATCTTTCCTCCAAATGCCTTAATAATAGAGAGGTCATATTTTAGTTTTATTTTCAGATAAATTCATTCAGGAAATAAAATCTACAAAATAACTCTTTCAATTCAAACAAATTTTATTCTAGTTCTTTTTTTTTTCTTTGTTTGAATGATTTCCTTCCATGCATTATTAAAGAAAATATTAGTCTTTAGGTGAAAGCCTGAGTTAATGTTTCATAAATGTAGTTTTAATGTAAATCTCTATTTTCATTGATGCTGACATTTAGTGATTTTCCTGTACACAGTGGCAGACTAGGTAGAAAATATCTACCAGGAAAACTTGTAAAAGGGCCCAGTCAAAAGGACCCACTTAATCCTAAAACAAAGAAATGAGAATATCTTTTATCTCCTTAAAGATATTATAGCATCAAAGATGCCATATTTAAATATTTCCAGCATCTATGCAATATTTTTCTTTTGTTTTTAATTTTTATTTTTTTTCGGTTATTTCTAAAGTGATGGACTATCACTTTGGGGTCCACTGGGAAATTTCCCAGTATCCCGATGGGCTAGTCCACCATTTCCTGTACACATTAATTTCTTAAGACCAGGAATATCACCATTTCTAATATTATTCACAGTGCAGCACATCATGTCATAATGGTTAGCAATCTGTTTTTCAGACCTTTTACTACTGAGTATAAGTTTGATCCTCACTAAGTGCTCCACACTTGTAGCCTTCTACCAAAACTAAGCTTAGTTAATAGCAATAAAATATTCATTTCTTTCTGTGCACATACAGTTACATGTATAAAAGAGGAGGCTAAAAAGTTCTCAGCCTGGTCAGTATAATACTTTTCAGCACCCTCTTATATATGTAGAAAAGTTGCTCTGTTACATGAGTCAGTTTAAAAGTAAAAGTCCAAACTGTCTACCTCACAGACTTTTACTCTCACTTCTTTCCATCATTGGTTAGAAGACTTGTAAAGCTCTCTCTGATTTTTTTCCTCTGCAGACAAAATCTCAGGAGACAAAAAACAAAAGACAACAAGCAAAAAGAAACACAAATAAAAATAAGCCTCCTCAAATTTATGAAGCTAACACATATATTAATGTAAGTACATTATATTTGTGTATATGTATATACTGGTATATTTGTGTGTAATAGCTATGTATATATTCATATGTATAGTTACACACACATTTCAAAGATGACTGCTTGTAGACTATTATTGAATTCTCCAGAGATGTTTTTCTCTTCATCTTTTTGCATTTACCTTCATTCACTAGAAATAACAGCTGGGTTGATGGATATCAAAATTTCTCTGAGAATTCCATCTCAAGAGTTAGATTACCAGTTATACTGATAGTATTGCTAGTAATGGTAATAAAAGGAATAACAAAGATGAAAACAGTTCTATTAAAAAATAATCCAGAGTTTTTTGACTTCTACTAAAAATCTAGAAATCATTTATTTACTGATCTGTAATCAATTAATGATTTTTGAAATGGAATTGAAAGTAAAAAGTTGATGGAAATGGAATTTATTTGAAATGTAAAAAAAAATAATCAAGCTGATGGGTTTTTTTTTCTCTCTTTCCAAGATAAAGATAAGATAATATCCAGAAAAATTATCAAGAGATAAGAAAGAAAGCATCTACTTGTATTATTAACATGAGAAAAGAAGCATCACCTTTGCTGCCACATGGTGAGATCTTCTGTCTAAATTTAGACTAAATATCCTGTGTGCCATTATGTTGATGATAAGGTCTCATTTGGCTCTGCATACTCCAAAGTCCTTTGTATCAAAACTTAAAGTAAGCAAATTTACCTCCCATGTTTTGACTCATGGTTCATATTTAGTTCTTTGAAGTATTCATTACTTCCGCATACTAGTATTTTCATGGGGAAATTATAAACTTCTACTTCTTCACTTACCTACAGAGTAAATGATTACCTACCAGGATTTAAAGTAGAAAGCTTTTCTCTATGTTTGGATATATGTTTGTACACAATACATAGATCCCATATGTATTATGAAGTGAGAACTGATTTGATATTAGTCATTTAACTAACATCAGACACAATTAAAATTTACAGTTCATAGTAATATAAAAATTTACATATAATCTACAGATCCTTTTTTTCTTTACCTACAATGCTTTTTGGACATCAGATCAAGTCACTATAGAAAAAAATAAGTGCTACAATTCAAGTAACCAGAACTTCTTACAGTATTGATTGGTGACAAATATATCCAGAGAAACAAAGTAATATCTAGTCCACACTGAGAACAGCACATACAACCTATAATACTAATACTATAATATTTAGGACCTAAAGAATGACAGGTTCACATATGTAACAAATAATAGTAATAATAATTCACTGATACTGAGGAAACTGATCAATGAAATAAAATTACTGGATGATGATTTAATTAACTATTAGATTTTGATTACAAATATAAAATATATGAGAGAGAGAATATGATTTATAAATTCTGTATATTAGAATAATGGTAGGTAGTTGAAAAACCAAATGGAAAAAATCCTATAGTATGTGTTTTTGTCCTGCAAAAGGACTTTTTTAAACTAAATATTTGTTACTTATGGAATCATATGTAGGAGGAGGGAACAAAAATATAAACAAATGTTAATTCTGTTAATGTTTAATTATAACCATCATTTGTTATATATGTGTGTGTGCAACAAATGATGGTTTTAATTAAACACATTAATTATACAGGGAATTTGGGTGGCCTGATGATTGTGTCTAGCCTGAAACAGCCTGTCGCCTCTGAGTGTTGACTTCAATCTTCACTTTTATATCTATATATATATATATATATATATATATATATATATATATATGTGTGTGTGTGTGTACGTGTAATGTGTGTATGTATAGATGTGCATGTATAGGTATTTGTATGTGTGTATATATATATATATATATATATATATATATATATATATATATATATATATATATATATATGTGTTTCTCTACAGGTGTATATGTGTATGTATGGGTATATACACATAGTTTTTGTGTATGTGTATATATGGATTTATATGTATGTAGGGATATGTATGTATGTGGATATAGATGGGTGTTCGGATGTGTGTAGAGGTGTTTGTGTATGGATATATGGAATATTATAAAAGAAGGACCTAATTTTCTGTTAGTTATGTTTTATCCAAATTTCTCCTCTAATATTCTCCAATTGGAAATAAGTTTAAATAATACGGAGGTAAATTTTAAATTGATAATTTAATTAAAGTTGAAATATATTACCCTTTAATAATCATTATTATGATAAAATTATTTAAATTGGAATATCTAAAAACAGTCACGGATTTAATTTATGAACAAAAGTCAAACAGATAGATGTCAACTTAATAATCAACAAGAAAAAAGTTTAAGCAAATAAATTACTAGATGTAAAAGGAATTTATTCTTTCAATGCACTTTCTAGAATTTTTTTTTTTTTCCA